CCTACATGTGCTCTAAGCAAAATAAGGATTTGACTTTGAAGTAGTCTTTTTGGAATCGAAATAAAAATCGTATTACCAGACATAACAAATTATTGGATGGTTACGACGATTATACGTGGGTTAGGGGCGCATAATAGAAGAAAAGAAAGATCAAAACAATACTTTATTAAAAACCCAGTGACCTTAATTAAAAAGGGAAGAAAAAGACATAAGACATTAGTAAAGTTTCAAGACCTTTGGCTTTATTTAACTAAGACTAGATAAAATTACCTTAGAACTTGAATTGTTGTTGTAAAAATGGATCTGGCTATGCAGTTTGTCTGAATCCTTCAATTGTTTGTTGTATTGATACACCAAAACTAGCTACATTTTGATTGAAACTGATCCCACCTATAGATGTCCCAAACCCTTGTTGAGTTTCTGGAAATCTAATTGTATTTTGTTCAAAAGTAGGTGTTCCAAACGTGGATGGTTGATTGGTATTAGAAGCTTCAAATATGTTTTGAGGTGTTCTGAATCTCTGTGGTTGCGGTTGTTCAAATGCACCACCACCACTACCAAATATTTCAAATGAGGATTGTTGTTTTTGCTGTTTTTGTAACTCAAATCTGTTGAGTGAATTATACAAGTCTTTAAGACAAGAATCTATTTGCATTTATGTACAATTTTCCATATCCTTAACACCATTTTGCTATTTGGTATATAAAAATATATTTTGAGATTATCTATGTACTGTGGTATTGTGATCCTCTTGACTTCATTACTTGTCTCCAAAGAACTAATTGACGCAGTTTTGTAAATATAATAGAAGATAATTGGTATAAAAAATATCTATAAAATACATACATATTGTATATCATTTCCGACAGTTCCCATAATTATATAATATTGAAGTTGCAATTTTTCTAATAAGTAGTCCATACTATCTACTAGATTGGGTTCTTCTTTTCTTGGTCCATAGACCGAGTACCGATATATAGGCCGGTCTTGAAGTTGCAGTGTTTGAGTCACAAAACTATAAAGCTGGGTTAAGTTTTGTTAAATATATTATAGGTTGGCTATAACTAGTTATGTTGTCATGATCAAACAAATTAAATGTTCGATCATCATCTCTATACTACGGATATGAATTAACTAAGTATTTTGTCAATAGTGATAATGACTTAAGGTTAGTATATTTTTTGCAAATATATATATATAATTACTTTATTTATATATATATTAACTAACAATTGTATTATATTTAGTGTTATAACAACTAATTAACTTATCGTCACTAGATATTATACGTA